GGTGGAAGACAGTGAGTGATACTGATAATCCTGACTCTGTGTATGCCTAGTTTAATGTGTGCGTTTGTGTCTTATTTGTTATTATTATTTTTTAGAGATGAGTCTCTGTCACCCAGGCTGGAGTACAGTGGCACGATCATAGCTCACATAACAGTTTCAAGCCATTGCAAAAAAGTGAGTAAGAAATGTCTCAACTCATTCTATGAGGCTGGCATTACCCTGAGTGCAAAACCAAAGATATCATAAGGAAAGAAAATACGGATGCAAAAATACTTAACAAAATATCGGCAAATCAAACCAACAATATGTTATTTTTATTTATTATTTTTTTTAGAGATAGGGTCTTGCTCTGTTGCTCAGGTTGGTATGCAACGGTGCACTCACAGCTCACCACAGCCTTGAACTCCTGAGCTCAAGTGATTCTCCTGCCTCAGCCTCCCAAAGCGTTGGGATTACTGGCATGAGCCACAGAGCCTGGCCCAAATTAGCAATATATTAAAAGAATAAGATATCAAGACAAGTATAGTTTAGTATTCCAGGAACGTAGGTTGATTCAACATTTGAAAAAAAAAAATCAATGAAATTCACCATATCAAGAGATTGAAAAACCATAATATCATCTCAAAAGAGGCAGAAAAAGCACTTCACAAGATTCATCATTCATTTATAGAATGAATAGAATGGAAGAAAAGTGCCTCAACCTGATAAAGGGTATTACAAAAAACCTAAACCTAACATGATACTTAGTAGTAAAAGATTGACTGCTTTCCCCCAAGACAAGAACAAAGTAAGAATGAACACTCTTACCACTTTTATTCGACATTGTACTCAACATTCTAGCCACTGTAATAGGGCAAGAAAAAGAAAGGCACATGAATTGGGTAAGTCTACAGAATACGTGCAAGATTTGCACAATGAGAAAAACTAAATACATTATATACACACATGCACGCCAGAGAAAGGCCCCTGACGCTCTCCAGTGGAGGAAGACTGAGTTGCGTTCACAGGAATCCTGTAGTTGCGTTACGAGATCCCCGGGAATAGTAACTCTCAACTACCGCCATGTTCTGTCCTGACGCTATGGCCTCCAAGCTCATTTGTTATTTGTTCCAATCAATCTGGAAGTAATGACTCAAATTCTAACAAAGAATGTTGAAATTCTAACAGAAAAAAATGTTTCACTACTTTCTCTCAACAACCACAAGTAAGAAATATACTAAATATTTTGGGGCCACCGTCAAGATATCTCACAATATCACCATGTTTTTTCATTCTTCCAAACTTTACTCTCATAGGCCTGATATTTATAGCATTAATATCTGGTATTGTTTTCTTGTCTGCTGATTATGTATTCTTAAATGGGTAGAAGCAGCAAAGAAATTGTCTAAACAGCAAACTGCACAGAAGCAGACCCCTACTTACTTCTGTTCACTCAGTATCTACGTTTGAAGTGGCTGGCAATGTACACTCCCGGGAGGAGCAGGCTCAATCCCAGGGAGACCCCCCCTTCTCTTGGGCTGCCTTAACAGCCTTCTGAAGACACAATGCAAAGTGATCTCTTGGTCAGAGAACATCTGGGCTAGAGGAGACACCCAATGCACAGTGTGTACTTCCATCGTTAAAATGATCACAAATGCGACCCGGTTTTGTGAGCTTCACAAACTGTGAGCATGATGGGAGGAACTGTGGCTGTCCTGTTCACGGGTGGGTTCCTGGCAGGCAGCACAGTCTCCAAACAGCCAGCACTCTCTTACCACTTGCTAAATGAAGGTATATACTGCATATATTTTCACTGTAAAGAGCAAAGGTTAAGTTTATTTAATTTATATTTCATGCCTCTGACGCATGCAATTTCACACTAAGGTATCGACAAAGTTATGTTTCTTAATATAAAACATACTGAAATTTAAGTATTTATGAAATGAACCCTATTTAATTTACTGATGGTCATTATTGCTCCTGTAAAGAGATATCTAACTAGGTTAAATAATTAATAAGGTTATTTATCTGGAGGAGAAGCAAAGAATGCCTAAATCAAGGGAGGGAAAAACCCACAGAGTCATTCATATTACAGCTACTCTTCTTTTTTGTTTTTTTAAAAAAAAAAAAAAAAAAGGCAATACACCTGGCTATACTTTAGGAGTACAAATAGAAGGAAACAGTTGTTTCAACCATCACCTTGTAATCAGGAAAATTCTGATTTAAAATGATTGTGATTCTTTTAAGATACATAATGATTCTTCCAAAGTCCTTGAACACCGTGCCATTAGTGAGAGTCTCTAGAAAAAATGTCTGCCCGTGCCGCATAGCCATGACGTGCCACTGAGACACACAGCCTGGCACACGGCAATACTGCCAGAATTGCATGTAAGGAGCCACTGTTATTTAGTCAAGCTGTCTGAACGAAAAGGTCACAAAACAATTGGAACAGAGCTTTGGTGAGTTTGGGAGCTGAAAATTCAAAGGTACATTACCTAAGAAGAGGCTTAATTTCTGAGAATTCCATTAGTAAGAAAACCTTTAAATGGACACAATATAAGGATAGTATTCAGCAAAATACTGACACAAAGACACAGAGGAAAAGTCGCTATGCAATTATTATAATTTTTTTTTTTTAAAGACACAGGGTCTTGCTCTGTCACCCAGGCTGGAATGCAGTGGCCTCATCATAGCTCACTGCTCACTACAGCCTACAACTCCTGGGCTCAAGCGATCCTCCTGCCTCAGCCTCCCAGGTAGCTGGGAGTACAGGTGTGCACCACCATGCCTGGCTAATTTTTACATTTTTTGTAGAGATGAGATCTCGCTATGTGTTGTTGCCCAGGCTGATCTTGAACTCCTGGGCTCAAGGGATCCTCCCGCATAGGCTTCCCAAAGTGCTGGGATTATAGGCGTGAGGCACTGCGCCCAGCCCACTATGCCAATTTTGGTGTTTGGAAATTTATTAGAATACAAGTCTCCCATCAGTAGATCTTGCAACTGAAATTACCCCAGCAGGGCATTATGTATATAATCTCAGAAGCTGCTTAAGCCACAGGACTTTGCATAAAAAAGATCATGTTAAACAAAGTGATCTATGTCAATTAAAAATAACTACCATGGCTCCATATGAGACATGTTCAAAATTGTCCATGAGACGTACTCTTTAATCCTATGATTTGCCTAATGCTTTAAAATTGTTTTTAAATCATTAAATCATTTATTACTCTGAATAAATTAAGATGCAGAAAACAGCAAAAGAAGTAAATTACACAAGTTTTCATATCCAATTGCTTTTTGCTGCTGTACATGTAGTGAAGAATATATTATAGAAAGACTCCAACCTGAGCCCAGCTTCCCTCCTCATCTTCCTGACGTTACGTGTTAGGAATGCAAAAGAACATAACCATTAGTATTGGTCAGCTTAGTAACGCAAGCAAATTCACTGCAGGGAAAGTGTAGTTTAAGTGAGTGAAAAGTTCAAAGTATCAAAGCATCATGCAAAACTCATGCAAAACGAAAAATTTTTCTCATGCAAGGAGCAGACTCTTCCCATGCCAAAAACATCCATAGAAGTAGAAAGTTAGAGTCAGACAATCACAACAGGGGAATAAAAACTGAGGTCTTTCCAAAAGGAGAGATGAATTAAATCTATTCTAAAAGTCTACCAACTTTAAATTCCTTAAAAAAAATCTAAAATAAGATATAATACAAATTCTATTTACATATTCAACCAATAACTAAAGGAAATACTTATCTGGAACAACTGAATGGAAAATAACATTTTTGTTTTCAACAAAAAGGCAAAGAACCCAGGCCGTCTTAAATGGAAAATGCACCGTGAGGAGAGTAGCCTGCGGCGCGTGACTAACCGTTTGCGGCGTGGCTGCGAGCGTTTCCATCTCTTCGTGTGTTAACCAGACATTTCCTGTGGTCTAAGGTGTGACCCCAGTGCACCAACCACATCCAGGTCAAGGGAAGCAGTGACAAAGAGGAGAGGGGCACACACATGAGCCACAAGCACAGAGAAGGAGCCATGGAGACAAAAGTTGCTCTTCTCACTTTTTCAATGCAGATGCCCGTACAGAAAATGACAGACAAGAACACGAGCGCATTCCCTTTGAAAGAATAAATGCGCCCTGTTATCACCGCGTCATCAATAACCAAGGAGAATGGCCCACAATTTCCAGAGACTTAGATGCCATGCTTACCCCTAGGGGTACATGAAATATAAAGAGAAGAAAACACATTTCATTCTTCTGGAAATTTTGAATAATTCTCAAGTAACTACTGATTCAATATATTTAAAACAGCCTTACCCAAACAAAAATTAACAAAGAACACAGCATGAAACTCTCCCTTTGGTTCTTTTAAGACTACCTGCAGCAGGAGCTCTACAGTGACGGGGTCCCTCTGCCCGGAAAGCCGAAGCCAGGGAAACTGGGGAGGTAGGAGCAGGGCAGGGTGAGTCGCAAGAGTGCCACATGCCAAACAAAAAGGCCCACGAACCATCTGAACCACACATGAGACAGAGGGCCACCCCACTTGTCTGCTATAAGCTCCTTGAGGGAGCAGATTTAATCCTTGCGCCCGACATAGTGCAGAGAGTGAGGCCCATTCTTCGTCACTACTGAAGAAGACAGTTCATAAAAACACTGGAAAAACCACACAGCCCCTTCGTTTCTAGAAAGGCCATTCTAACGTGAAACAACAGGGGAAGAGAGCAGATACTGTTACAAAGCATTCCTGGGGAAAAGAGCTCTCTGAGCAATAGGTAAGAACAAAGGCTTATTGTTCATTACCTAATTTTTTTCACTAAGAAAAAAATAAAACAAACAAACCTCAAAACTTTTTGTGTAAAGTAACTGTAAGCCCTGAATCCAGCCCTGCTCTGCTCCTTGGAGAAATATGTCTCCAAGGTTCTTAATCTCTTAACAAGAACTGGTTTTCTCTCCACAGTAGACTACAGAGACTGGGAATCCAGCCAATGTAAAAAGCCTGAATTTCAGAAAATTAGGAGTTGGCCTGCCCTCAACTCCCAATAACCACTAATGTTTTACTAGAATAGTTTTGAACTTTTTCAACCAGGAGAACCCTTTTCAAGGACTTCCCATGGCGTAGAAAAATTACACTAGTACAGATAATGCTTGCTGAACATTTGTAGATTTGTTAACTGCTTAAAATCCTGAGCTCCCAGGCTCTACAGCTCCCAAAACGGAAAGCCCCTACAGGTCAAACAAGTCAAATACAGTAAAACGCTGGTTACAATGCAACACCAGTGGGCTAATTTTTTCCCCTTTTAGTTTTTGAAAAAAAAAAAATTGCCCACAAACTGGAATTATGGAGAAGGGAGAATTGTTTAGGGACTAGTTTTGATGGCTGGATAACAACCATCTCTTACTAGTATGTTAGCTAGTAACCACCACCTCTTACTAGTATGTTAGCTAGCATGTCAGGCATCTCTTACTAGTATGTCACCACGTAGCAGTGTGTTTAAATGAATGCTACTAAGGTACCTGGAAGAGCCAGTACTCTGCAACAGACAAAAACATTTTACTTCTTAAGATCCTACTTACACATGAAATGATATTCATGAATTTACAAATATGACAACAAGTAAAATAAGCTGGACGCAAATGAGTAAATACGCAACTTCAATTATACACGTCAAGTACAAAACGGACCAGTCCGTGGCGTCAGGAGTCGCACATCGCACCCCAGGGAAGGGAGCAGTGACTCAGAAGGAGGGGGAGGGGCCTCGAGGGCCCCAGGTAATCCCATTTTACAGCGTGAGTGCTGACTACACAGGGTGCACGGATTTTACAAATTCCCTGGAAGTGTTATACTGATATGTGCATTTTTCTACATATATATTTCCATAAAATTTAAAAATGTTCAAACTATCATTTGCTCAGCACATATCTTCACGTACAGTGCAAATGCTAGTCACTGATTCAGCTTGAATCACAAAACAGGAAATGAAATTCAAAAAGTTTAAGCATAAATTATGTACTTAACTGCTAACTTTTTCCTTCCTCAAGATGCCCTTAGACTGATTCAATTCTGATAAATTCCTACCTAAAGTTGATAATTACTTTTTTACCTTTAAAAAAAACCTTGTGTTTTTATCTTATGATGGATCCTGACCAATCTTTTACAAAAGTATTTGATAAAGTTTCTTTTGAATATCCACTTCCCACAGATTAAAAGTTCTAACGTGAACCCTAACCTTTGAACGAGAACTACACTAGGTGTGTCCATAAAGAACTGGAGAAGCAACATAAACGGGAAGGCCACCTTCCCAGAGGCGCTCCCGCTTCCCAAAGAGCGAAGGGACTGCCCTGGCCTTACCGTTCTGGACGTGGGTGGGGCAGACGGGCTGGTGAGCGACATGATCTCCTGGATGGCCAGCCGCAGCTTCAGCCTGTGCAGGGGGTTGCTGATGCCGATCTCCCGCTGGATCTCCGTGTCGGACAGGGCCGACATGATGGCTCCGCTCTTCACGTTCGCTCGGCAGGCGGCCACGTACCAGGCCGGCATCCCCACCCAGAGCTGGGGACAGGAATGGCAAGGCCAGAGGTTGGGTTTGGTCTATGAGACGGATCGATAAATTCACATAAAGTAACACACTCGACTGAGTATTAAAAGAAGGAGATGTACCTCCAGCCAAACGACAACAGTTGGCCCATCCCACTGGGCAAAAGGTAAACCTTGTCTCCGGGCTTCCTCGAGCAATTCATGCCTACGAATAAGAAGATATTCAAAATTAAAGAATCATTATGACACGCATATATAAAAAAGTTAACGGAAGTATTCTCTTTGAGCACTTCCAAAAGTCTAACACTGTAGTCTGCTCTCCCTCTCTATGGTTCTGCAACCACACATTCAACCAGCTGAGCATCAAAAACACTAGGGGAAAAAAAACAATAAAAACCAATACAGCATAACAACTATCTACACAGCGTTTACATTGTATTAGGTATTGTAAGCCAGCTAGAGATGATTCAAGTGTACACGAGGATGTGTACAAGTTACATGTAAACACTACGCCATGTTATGCAGAGCACTTGGGAGGCCTCAGATGTTGGTATCCTCGAGTGGTCCTGAAACCCGTCCCCTACAGATACTGAGGGATGACTGTACGTTCCCAACGTTTTCCTTTAATCATCGTCCATTTTAATATTATCAACATCATCTATTTCATACTAGCTTTGTACATACTACAAAGCACGCCTGAGTGAGGAAATGCTGCCTGAGCCCCTCTGACTCTACATGATCACCAACTCCTTACAGAATCAAAGAATTATTACCAATGCAAAAAATACCAGCAGAGTCTTCATCTTCATATCCAAGGTAACAGAACATTAAAAGGAAAACATAATCACTATTCCGTTCTTAAACAATGAAGAAAAATATCTAGGAAGAGGAAACGACACCTAGGTCTGAACAAAGGAGCTAATCTCTAGGAGAGTCTTTAAAAATGTTAACATTTAACTAAAAAAACTCAAACAAACAAACAAAAAACCCCCAAACGGTGCACACTGCAGATTTTTTCCTTTATTTTTAAAAAAAGGGGTCTTGCTACATTGCCCAGGCTGGCCTTGAACTCCTGGTCTCAAGCAATTCTCCCCACCTCGGGCTCCCAAGTAGCTGGGATTAATAGGCGTGCACCACCGTGCCTGGCTTAGTGCAGATTTTAAACATTAAAAATGTTATAATCTAATAAAGCAAGCAAGTAACGATGGCTGTTTCTATTCTACACTCCTATTTAGCTATTATTTGCTAAATTAAGTCACTGCGTCATCCTGTGGTTTAAGCCACAGGCTTCCTACCCAGAAGACTTGAAATCCTAACAGCTCTCTCCATGCACAGAGCAGATCCTGAGCACAAGAACTAACATGATGCCAGCCACCACAGGGAAGCAACCAGGGGTAACTCCTGACCATGCATTTATTTGTGATCAGAAATATTCTAAATGCCTTATTTTTAAATACCCAAGTCATGATTTTACCACATTAACATCTTTGAAAACGATTTTGTCTAACATAGCTATTTGAAAGATAACACTATAAACCTGGTGAATCTCACCTTATTTCTCAAGTGTTTACCTACAAGGCTTTCAAAAAGAAACCACTTTAAAAAATGAAAAATCAGGAGAGAAGATGGCATTAGGGCAGAGAGGACAGGTACATTTAGTTTGCATGCATGGATGTCCCTGAGTCATTTTTAAATTCCTAGGTTGCTTTTAGACATTTTTCCATAATAATTTCTGTAGGTCATACCATAGAATCTTTTACTTCTAAAGATTAAATATTAGAGCTTCAATAAATTTCAATAGTAGTAGACTTTTCTTAAGACTGCGAAGTCTATGTACAATTACAGCCCATCTTCCTAAGCAAAATGTTTCACATAAAATTTGAAAAAAGTGGTCCTGTTTCCAGGGGATGATAAATACAGTTATCTAAGAGTAATTATACCAGAGAATGCAACAAATGTTTTAATATCACAAGTAGGACAGGTGCAGTGGCTCACACCTATAGGCTCAGTGCTATAGGAGGCTGAGGCAGGAGGATCACTTGAGGTCAGGAGTTTGAGACCAGCCTGGGCAACCTAGTGAGAGCTACTCCGGAGGCTGAGGCAGAAGGACTGCTTGAGCTCAGGAGTTTGAGGCCATCCTGGGCAATACACTGAGACACCATCTCAAAGGAATAAAAAAGACCAACAACAAAACAACATCAACGAAAAAAGAAAATAAATAATTCTGAGAAATGTATTTGGATTCTTAAATCGATAACGGCAGGAGTGTTAAACTGTATTCGCACAACACTTCTTCCAGATAACTCAAACTTATTTCCAAAAGACAGGGTCTAGGTCTGTCACCCAGGCTAGAGCAGTGGCATAATCATAGCTTACTGTAACACTGAACTTCTAGGCTCAAGTGATTCTCCTACCTCAGCCTCCCAAGTAGCTAGGACTAAATGTGCATGCCACTACGCCTGGCTATTTTTAAATAAAATTTTTGTACAGATGGGTCTCGCTATATTGCCCAGGCTAGTCACAAACTCGTGGCCTCAAGTGATCCTCCTGCCTTGGCCACACAAAGCCTCAAACATTTTTCCACATTTATAAATACAGTATTTTTCCTAAAATCAATTTTATTTCAGGTTAACTGATAGAAATGAAATTAAACACTATACGTTGACAAATAACCTTCGTACTTTGAAATTTCTCTATTAACTTGCTAGTACATTTCAGAACTTATACATGGATCCCATGCGTAACCATAAGGTACAGAGAAAGACCCACTCTTGGACACTTAGTTTCAACTACGACAACAGAGTTAGATGTTCAAAGCCAATGGCATAAATTTGAACATCACAGCGCCACAGAAACTTACCACTAACACACACACACACACACACACACACACACACACACACACACACACAAACTGGCATGAAATTTAATCACATGGTCAGGCAAATAATTCAAAGGCTGTCCTCTTACATCTAAGCGCTCAAACACAGCTCCTGGGAATTACAAAATAAATTTTAAAAACAGAGTGAAAAATTGGGGGCAATTTATACTATTTTTCTCCTACATGAAATACAAACTTCTGGGGCTGGAGGTGGTAGGACCAAGTTGCCCTGCAACATACCTTACTGCTTTTATTATGGTAAGTATGAGGATGTGAAATAAAACACAGCAGCAAAATCTAAGGGACAAAATTTTCCTAGCATGGTTCCAGGAGGCAAAAGGCCTAGTGTTAATACTAAGTTTCACATACCAAATGGCAACCACCCAAGTTATTTTAAAACATTTTTACACAGCTCAAAGACAGCAATGTTCAAATCAGATTTTGCTGTTAAGTGTTTTCTACAAATTTCCATTTACAAGGAAACAAAAAACTGAGTGTTCCTATGGTATTGTTAACATAGGAGCATTTCACCTGAAATATAATCAATAATCAAGATATTTATTATGGCTTCTGGGAAGAGAACTAAAACGAGGTAGATTTCACAACAGAAAAATCAGCTGGCAACTCTGGGGGCTAAAGGCAAACTGGCCCCCAGTGGAGAGGGTCCCCACGGCCCTGGTGCCATCCAGGGGCAGCATCTCCGGGCCCTGAGCTCCAGATCAGCGTGGGCACACCGAGTGGCAGAACAACTTTCCCATCGTCAGGCTCCTCACAGAACCTGTGAGTCTCACCTTGTCTCAAGGCCCTGTGCTCCCATCTCACCATCAGTTTTCCATCTTCCCCACTCTCAAGTTCACCTCCTACCTCTTAGACTACACACACGGCCCATTTTGTTTCAGAAGTGGGTTTAGTTTATTTTTCATTCATCAGTTCACAGGGATATTGTCTCAATCTATCTAGTGTACCTACTTAACTCCGGTTTTGGACAAGGTCAGCCAACACATCGCTCACTCCGCATCAGAGAAGAACCCAGAGACACCCGAGTGTGCACCCGAGTCCCTGCCCTGGGGCATCCCAGTCCTGTGCTCCCGTGCTGAACGCCGTTCCGGATACTGTTACACTTATTTTCAGAATCAAGACTTAGTTTAGAATTAAAATTTAATAAATAGACTATAAAATCTAGAGACTATTTCAGATGAAAGTACAAAATCTACAGGAAGAGGAAAAATGCAACACAGCCAATGTTTCCGGACAGATCACTAGTATGAACAGCAAATGGTTTCTTTTTCTTTTTTTTTTAAATATGGAACACTTCACGCACTGGCGTGTCGTCCTTGCGCAGGGGCCACGCTAATCTTCTCTGCATCATTCAATCTTAGTTTATGTGCTGCTGAGGGGAGCACTGAATACAAAATTCCTTTTTTTTCCCAAATTTTATTTTATTTTACTATTTTTATTTTTTGAGACAAAATTTCACTGTGTTGCCCAGGCTAGAGTGCCGTGGCGTCAGTCTAGCTCACAGCAACCTCAAACCTGGGCTCAAGCAACCCTCCTGCCTCAGCCTCCTGCCTGAGCCACCACACCCGGCCTTGAATAGCGAGTGCTGAAGGCTGGCAGGCAACAATCACTGTAGTGGCCACAGCTACGGCTAGTTTACGACTCATTGGCTCTGTTTAAAACACATTATGTGTATCATCCCATTTAATACTCACCAAGGCCATGCAAGGTACGCACGACTATTACCCTCATTTTGCAGATGAGGAAATTGAAGCACGGGGATGCTGAGTCCCTTTCCCAAAGTCACAACCTAACCTGAGCAGGCACCAGGACTCAGATTCCAGTGCGACCCAGTGCCCCCCTCTTTCTACTTTCCCGAGTGGACTGAGGATCCGTGTGTGATTTCTTTCAGAATGTCACAAATGCTCTGTCTTCTAGCAAGTATGGCTCAATAAAGGCTGGAGGTTAATCTTTCAGAAGATAATGTATATACACAGCTAGATATTACATTTAACAGACATTAGTTAAAAATTAGGCACAAGTGAAAACTGTTCAGTGAGATGAAGAAATAATAGAAAGCTTACTTTTTTTGAAGTTTACGATTTTTTTCAGCCTGTCCTCCCAATTTGCTAAGTCCCAAGGCATCTTGAGATGAGTTCTCTGTCTCTGAAACACCAGCTATGAGGAAGCAGAACAACCCCAAAATAAAATCAACATGGCAAAGTTGTGTCTTTTCATAAATAGGTGGTCGCACATTTGCAGGCTCAGTGTTAATTTCTTGGGCTAAGTTTCCGACTAGGGCACCAATACACAAAAACGCTCTGGACAGTGAACTTGTTATATCTATGAGTGGCCAATGAACTGACTGCGCTCCTCGGTTCACGCCTTCGCAGCTTTTGCTCTCTGGAGAGCCACAGCCTCTACCAGCCCGGGAAGGAGCTGCTGGTCAAGCACATGGCGGGCACACAAATGACAGTCCCTTCCTCTCCGCAATCCTGACCCTTAAGCTGTTTCCAGGAAACCGACCGACCTTGCTCTAACGTGGCTTTGCCAGCTGGTCCAGGTCGGCCCTTTTCTTTCTTGCCAAACAAGCGGCCAATAGAGGACTTGATGCCCTTCTTCTTCGGGGCTTTGTGCAGCGAGTCCTGGCTGCTGTTGCTGCTGCTGGGATTGCTCACGGGGCCGTCCTGAGAGCCTGTGGAGCTTTGAGGAAAGAAAGGGATCCTTACCACGTGGCCTTCCCATGACAGAACATTCCACTCAAGCGCATTATGATTCTTCGCCTTTTTAACGCTCGTTCCTCAGGCTTCCTAACCAACACTCCGTCTCTTCTACACCTGCGTAAAGTGCGCTCTGCCCAGCACAGGCAGTCCCGGGGTGCTGACACAGAGACCTGTTTCTGGGACGCCAAGATTCTCTGAGTGGCGCTCCCCTTCAGAGTGGGGCTGGACTCCAAACCATCAGACTCCGGGGCCCAGTGACCTGAGTCAGGCGCACCTCCCGGCTCACGAGAGCTGTGCTCAGGCCGGCTGCGGGAAGCAGTGGCAGCAAGAGCAGAGTTCTGGGAATCAGAACAGCTGGAGCCCCCACCCCTCTCAGCAGCTCCCACAGCTGCCCTGAGCCTGACTCCTCAGCGGTGAAACCAGGGCCACGTCAGCTGCCTGCAGGGAACCCAGATGCCCTCTATCGTGTACTGCCTGGTCCAGAACAGAAATTCAATAAATGGCAGTTTGGGGATGGGTACAGTCACACCTAATGGGTGCAGTGTGCACCATCAGGGGGTGGACACGCTTGGAGCTCTGACTCGGGTGGGGCAAAGGCAATGTATGTAACCTAAACATTTGCACCCCTGTAATTTGCTGAAATAAAAATAAATAAAATCAAAAAAATAAATGGTAGTTTGAAAAAGGATAGTATATTGGTAATAAAGCAGTTTATTGGTTTCCTGAGAGGAAGCACTTAATCAATGGGTAAGGACAACATGGAGCTCTCAACAGCTCACAAACGGCCCCGAGGGCACCTGAGAGGCACAGATTGCCCACACAGCAGTGCTAAGCAGAAACCTGTCATCTGCCTGGCAAACTCTCTACCAAAAATAGGAAGAAATTTCTCAAAGTAGTCAATTTGTACAATCTGAGGAAACGAAGTTTTCCCAAACTTTGCTGATATTTAACTCCTTTCTTTCCAAACTGACTTTGCCCAATGGACTTCACTCTAGTCCCCAGAGCAGTGGTGGGCATTCCAGGTACAGCACTTAAATGAACTCAACTGACTTTAACTGGTAGTTCATTAAAGTCACTGTTTTGTTTTTTCAAGTAAAGATGAACAGGTTTCTTAAACCTGCAGACAGACAGGCACGTTTCGATGGGGGTTGCTGGCATGGCGCCCGCTCCTTACTTTCTCATGTCCCTGATGTCCTCGTGGCTGACTGTGTGCAGCGCTCCTTTCTGCGGCCTATCTAACCGGAGGGACCCCGGGGAGGCAGGGGGGGAGGTTTCACATTTTATCGTTGTCTTGTCATCTCGTACCTCTTCTCTGGAATATGGCAACTGAGGGGTGAGAGAAGTGCAAAGTTAGTTAATAGGGACCATGAAAAAAAAAATCACAGAGGCCTTAAATTATGGCCACAACCTTATTTGAAAATCTGTCGGCTATGCTTTCTGCCAGTACAAAAGTCTCACTTTAGTCCCATGCCATTTGAAGGACTGCCTCGTTCACGAGAAGCAGGACCATGCGGCACCGTGCGCACGGAGCGGCCAGACTCCTAGCCTGACCGCCACGACCGACAGCGGGGCCCGGGCAGCACACAGGAGCACCCTTCAGCCTCTTCCGCACCAGCTTCTGCCCTCCAGGAGTCCTCGGCACATCCTGAGGACAATCACTGAAGGGGAGCGAAGATCTAAACGACTGCATCATTATAAAGTTTCGACAGCATTAACTCACACTCATACACATTCCACGACAAACCGACAAATATGTTTATCTCCTGGCTCCAATCAAAAGAAACACTAGCGTGGGCAGAAACTTCTTGGGCAAAACTGTCAATATCTTTCTGTTTGGGGAGAGGGAGAATAAATATGGACTAGCCCAGCAGTCCCCAACCTTTCTGGCACCAGGGACTGTTTTCATGGAAGACAATTTTTCCACAGACCAGGGGGGCGGGGTAGGGGGGAGGCAGGCGCGGTAGGGGCAAAGTATGGTTTTGGGATGATTCAAGTGCATGCATTTATTGTGCACTTTATTTCTATTATTATTACATTGTAATACATAATATAATGAAATAATTATACAACTCATCATAGGTTGGGGACCCCTGGAATAGCCCATAACCCCAAGACACATATGTACAGCTTCTATTTATTTCTCAATAATGTTTGGAGTGAATGCTATAAATGGATGCACTTATATGCAGCTCAAAAACCTTTTGTTCAGTATGATTTACATAAAATAATCCTAGGTTTATCATTAAAAGATGATCTCTTTCTGACTCCATGTTTTCTTTTTTTGCACTGGAATGTGAGTACGCCACGTGCTGAGGGATGCAGGATGGTATAATAACAGCAAACAGATCCACCCCTTCAGGGTCTAGACAGGTCATGCTTATGCACTGTGTGTTTTGGTTTTGAGCAGGACTAGCTCTCATGAAACAAAAAGAGCAAGCATCTATATAAACAATAAGACCCGAACAGCGAACTTCCGCTTTTTAATTTTATTTTTTAAAAATCTGTTTTTTAGAGATGAAGTCTCACCGTATTGCCCAGGCTGGAGTACAGTGGCTATTCACAGACACAATCATGGTACACCGCAGCCTCAAACTCCTGGGCTCAAGTGATCCTCCCTCCTCAGCGAGTGCCACTGAGCCTGGCTTGAACTTCTGCTTTTTAAACGGACTGTGTAAAGTACATCAATCTCATGGGAGCCCAATAGTGGCTCAGTGAGAACCAGGTAGACTAGTGCAAAGAGGGGCTGAGGTCATTGAGTGCGTAATTTTAATTAGCAGTTAAGATGCAGATAAATCCTGTATCCTCTCTCAACTTCCAATTACAATCATAAGACAACATAAGGCTATTATGGCTAGATATTGTCAGTATGAAATTTACCAGTTTCAAAATTCAGGTTAAACAATCATTTGTTTATAAAAGCAGAAACAAAGAACAGCATAGGAAGCAATACATGTGATCAAGCTGACAGACAATACGACTCACCGTAAACTACCAGAGATGGATGAGTAAAGCCCAGCGAACCCGGCCAGCAGCTCCCTAAGGAAGTCCTCCCACACTCCCAGCCCTGCCCATGCTCTGCCTTCTGTACTCCAACAGCAAGGGACAGCACTGGGACCCACCAGATTTTTGCCTCTATCACCGCTGAGACGCTACTAGAAAGCAAGGAAGTCATCTTAGTCTACACCAATAATGTTGAGGCCAAGGAGGAAGGAGACAGTCAAATGCGGGCTGTGTCTGGCGCCATGCCTGGCACTCTGCACATACAGCTGGCTTAACCCTCACAACAACCTGAGAACAAGGTTCCTCACCTTGTTCAGCTTCCTCACGCTGAAGCTACCTGTGAACAACACCAGGTTATCAGGCCTGAGTGCAAATCAACACACTGCTTCCGTCATTGAGAAAATCTTGCTGTCAAACAAACAAATCCAAATAAGAGTCAGCAAAACTAAACAACAGCCACAGACCAGCACTGCTCCTAATGCACTGCACGTCCTCCGAGAACAGGAGGCCCAATCTACAGTTATCTCCCAGGAGAAGTGGCCTCGAACCTCCCTCTGTAGGGATGCTGCCAGGGAGACCAGACTATTAAACATCTGGAGAAAAGGCCAGATGGTGACGTGGCCACGGGTCCAGGTTTTGAAATCAGGCAAATCTGAACTCAACTCTGCACTGCAGATTGTGTGAACTCTCTAAACTTCAGGGTCCACATCTGTGAAATGCGGATAACAGTAACCTATGTATCACAGGAAAGTGTGTGAGGATTAAATAAGATACAGGTTGAGCATCTTGAATCCAAAAACCCCAAATTTGAAATGGTCCAAAATCTGAAACTTTCTGAGTGCTGACAGGATGCTCAAAGGAAATGCCCATGGGAGGATCTAGGATTTCCAATTTTGGATGCTCAACCAGTAAGTATAATGCAAATTTCAAAATCCAAAACACTTCTGGTCCCCAGCATTTGGAATACGGGATACTCAAGCTGTAACAGATTGGTAAGGCACTCAGCACAGAGCATGGCATAGATTAAGAGCTTAGTAAATGCTAGCTATTATTGTTATCAAAATTGATTTTCACCTAAACATCTGTACCCCCATAATATGCTGAAATAAAAGAAAAAAAAATTGATTTTCCCCAAATCTAAAATCTATGGCTTTGCTTCAACAATTTATTTAAAAATACCATGTCTATGATAAGTAAGCATGCAATGATTAGAAGACAAAAAAAATGGGAGAATGGCAAACTCTTACATTTGTCCCAGTGTTCTATGAAAACCACTAATAAATAATTTCCAAGAGAAAGATCACATGTAAAGTGCTGGGTGAGTTTAAACACTTTCTTTAAAATTTCAATTATTCGTTATTATATAATTATATAATGTTATATTTATATAAAATGATAGATACTCTTCAATGCGTTATAGACATACAAAGATATGTTAAATTACTAAATAATTTACCTTTCTACGATGTTTCCTTAAATCACTAGGCTGACAGATGCGTGCAAAGAGATGAAGAGAAACCAGATTTACTGCACACTTGAAGTTAAAAATTCAAGGATTAGTACAGCAAATATATCAAAATGGGAATGACAGCATGGATACAAGGGCAACAGGATTTAGAGAAAGTTTAACTGTATATAGAACATCTCTCGCCACAACATTTAAATGTAAGTTATTCAAGATTTACTAGAGAAACACTATAAATTATTATTCAGAGAGAGAAAATTCTATTTCAACACATACAATTTATTGTGGCTTTTTGTATAACAAAAGGCCCTAATAATTGTCTATTCTAAGACAAACCTCTCTATAGCTTAGTTTTCTTTAATAAAAAACATGCTGTAATTCAAAATATTCTAATTGATGATGAAGTTATTACAATACATCTATTATAAAACTGAACAAACCTACTTTTATACCTACTGGACATTAACGCAAAACTCTTACCTAGAATTTGATTTACAACTTCTCAAAAAAAATTTATTGCTTAAAGCAAGGTACCCCGTGAAAATATATAAAATCAAAAGCTAGCATATCAGGTAGAATCTTTATATCCTATGATTTACGTAAGATATTTTAATTAAAAAAGTCAGAGACAGTAGAGTATCTTCAGTAAGTTGATGAGATTTATAGTCTTGAATACAATCATCAAAATCAGAAAGCATATTGTTTGCATAAAGCTTTCATTAATTCTACACTTAGCAGATTATTTGTGTAGGAAATATTTCATTTATGAATTATACAGATCCTACATAAATTGAGGAAAACACTCTTAATCACCTACATTGTGTCTGTATCCACATTTATTATACAATGATACACTAGTTATATTTTATAACTATTGAGAAAAAATACATTTTTTAATGATAACAAACCCAGAGTTCCACTAATAAAGTCATAATCCAGCACAGACTCACACATCATTGGCCACCAAGCTGCCGCCTGGGTACCTGCGTGCTGTGAAGAACCGTTATAGCGTGGGGTGGGCCTGGGGGCGCTGGAGGAACAACTTAAAGGCTGACGGGGACCTGAGGTCTGGATTAGAAATGAATCTGGAGATGGCTCAGATAACAAAACAAACAAAAGGATGATGCAGGAAATCAAAGCCAGCGACTGTCGGTCAGCATATGGAATTATAAAACTAGGGAAAAAATAGAGACAACTGGTTTTACAAATGCTCTGGAAGGAAATAAGCATGAAACCACAAATGAAATGGTCAGAGTTCAAAACATTAGCTAATGATGTAAATTATGAAAAAAGTATGTCAAAATACTTCAAAGTAGACAGTCACCACTTCATAAGCCACTAAAATGATTCATTGTTGAGTTAATCACACTCTGGCTAACAGCACAGCTAAAGATGAAAATGGAAGGTCAAAGAAAAAAATGATAGAAGTGCAGTTAAAAAGCAGAATGTTGTAAGTATGATTTCATGTGAAATATAATTTCCTAAGCAATGCACTCACAAAACCTAGACTAACTACACAAGAAAGTTTTAAACATTCTTCAGATCTGCACACTTTGCCACCAAACACCACAAAGCCATCAAATTTCCAGGTAAAGTGACCCCAGGCTGAGGCCCATCTGCTTCCCAAGGAGGCTGAAAAGCAGCCTGGCTGCAAATGGCTTCACATGCAGAACCTGATTAGCTTTTTTTTATTTCCTGGACTGCACTCCTGGAACCTTGTTCAGCATCCCTGAACGACAGATGGGGCTAATCCCCCTGTTCATTTTCTATATGCTCTGATGTCTGCCTACGTTTACTCTGTTAACTGTCTACCCCTAGAAAACAGACGCATTCCCCCTCTGGCTGCTGCACTCTGCACAGCTGCCTGGGCCAATTGTCACATAAAAAAATGGTGGCACACTAGCCTGGTCATCCAAATATTACAATCAATTTGGCATAGTTGAATGAAATAGTTGAAAACAGTAGTTAGGTTTTAAAGTCTTCAACCTCTTAGAATGACAAACGTACTTGATTTTCTGCTGGGTAAAAAGAAGCAAGTTCGCAGTGTTCAAGACTTCAAACAGGTGTGTGGGGTGGGGATGCCGCACGGAAAGGGTGATACTTACTAGAGTCATGATGCCCAGTCTGTCCACCTCCCTGGCTGGGCTGTGTGGGATCCTCCTTGGGGTGGAGCGACCGCTGCCTGGCGGGGAGGAGCCGGCAAGTGAGGAGGCAGGATACGGGGGAATGGAGCTCATTGATCTAAAACGACCAAGATTGTCTAAACTTCCACTACCAACTCTACTTTCAATCTCCTCCGCTCGCTGCTCTGTGTTTTCCTTTTCTTCTTGTATCAACCTACAATAAAAACAAAAGCAGTCATCCTTCCTTTATTAGCAAACAGATTAATATGTTTGGATGAAAAACAAATCTGCTTATACTCAGTATTAGTATGAGTAAACTCCAAGTTGCTCAAACATTTAACACTTCAGCAAAAATGTTTTGCTTTTAATCTTTTAAAATATACTACATCTTAGGACAACAAAAAGTAAATCCTCCATTGACCCTGGGTAAGCTGGTTCTGATATTCATGCTTGATTTTACTTATTTACACTAAAATTTTGAAAGGGGCTGGCTGGCAACTTTTCCTATGGTTGCAACCAAGCAATGAGATTCTTAAATTTTACAACCCTCATCTCCCCTATTCTTAGAGCGACGCTGTACCTTTACCTATAGATTTCTTCAACTGGAAATCAGGAATTCTAACACAAAGAATTGATCCACAAAGCCATTTAAGAGTTTCCAAATACTTAAATCTCTCTCTTTTTTTTTTTTTAGAGACAGGGTCTGGCTCTGTCACACAGGTTGGAGTGCAGTGGCATTATCATAGCTCACTGTAAACTCAAACTCCCAGGCTCAAGCAATCCTCCAGCCAGCCTCAGCCTCCCAAATAGGAGCGCGCCATCACACCCAGCTAACTCTTTAATTTTTTATAGAGATGAAGTCTCACTATGTTGCCCAGGCTGGTCTCAAACTTCTGGGCTCTAGTGATCTTCCTACTTCGGCCTCCCAAAGTGCTGGGATTACAGGCATGAGCCACTGTGCCTCGCTCAAATACTTAACTCTTTAGACTAAATGCAAATATGAAGTTAATTTTTAAAGTTCAAATTCAAACAAAAATATCACCTGGTGGCATTCTCTACCAGCTTCATCTGAATTTCTGGACTCATGTTAATCGTGCTACATTAATTTTGAATTCAAGATTAATGCTCTTCTATCCTAAAGTGTCGTGGATTACTAAGCAGTGATTTTAACATGTGACTACGCCAATGATAATTATTCTAATATTAAAATACAGAAACCTTGTAGCAGCCCTTCAAATTAGAGTTGTACTTACATACTCTAAGAAAAGTGTTTTTTTGGTCATTATTCACAGAAGAAAATCTGTATCAGTGGATAGAACTTACCATTTATACCACTTTAACTTGCTACATAAAGAAAAATCACTTTTATCTAGCAATACAGTGTAAAAAATAAAAACTAAAGGTATATATTTCCCATAACGATGAGGAAAGACTAGTTTTCTGAGCTCTTCACCAGTTTTAAACCTGGCACCTGAAAAGTCAGTGTACAAGGTGAAAAACGTAGGCAGCGCACGCACGTCTTACTCTGGAGCCTGCGGCTCTCCTTGGCGCTTGTTTTCGCCCTCTCTGCTCCACCTCGTGCCCTCTCTGAGCAGGACGGGCGAACTCCCACCTGCGCTAACTTTACACAAAGTCCCCACAGCGGCCCCGCCCCGACCGCTGTAGGACTCCACGCGTGTGGCTGCTCTGCACTTGGACTCAGGCTGGCTGTGTGGCCACGTCAGGCCTGGGGCCACGAGGCAGACCTCAGGGCACCCCTGGTCACACTGCTGTGCCCCCAGGGGAAGCCAGCATGGGCGGCAGTTACCTAAGGCCTCTTCAAGGCCTCTTCATCCCTACACCTTAGTTTCTATTCCACAGGTGGCCCACTGTTTTACACATTTCCCATTAAAACTGCTAATGAGTTGCTAAAGAAAAAAACCCTTTAAAATATTGATGAGACTAAAAAAATTCACTCACCGTTTGATCACTCATTGTCCTAAGGTGAGCAAATCTTCACCTCATGCTAACTAACCTAGTGAAAGGAAAGTGCAGTGGGAATACACAAACCTGAAAACTTCCACTTTTCTGTGCCAGGCTAGTGCCGTGTGACAGACACCCGATGATGTGGCGCTCTGAAGGGCAGTGCTGGGGGATGCACAGGTAGCAGGTGATGGCCACGTGCTCCCTTCAGAATGCAGAGTCAAGGGCACACTCAGGCTGGCAGGGGGTTCATGGCAGCTTTCCCTCTTACTTCCTCTCTGCCGCCTCTCCTAGCGAGTTGCACTGCTGCCTGGCACTGGCCTGCGGAAGGAACCTGTTGCTTCTCATCCACAGCACGCGTCCGTCAGTCCCTCTCTTCCCCACTCCCCACTGTGCACGTCTCCCCTCTGCACTGGGTCAGGAGGTGGGGCCCACCAGCCCTCCTCCGATGTATGCTGGCTCCTCTGCCCTTCTAGGCGCAGCTCTCAGGAGAGCAGCAGTGGCTGAGCCGGCCCCGGACCCCCTGTCACAGGTGGGCACTGAGCCCCTGCAGTGCTCTACAGAGACAGAACACCTCTCACCTCCTACAACACCCTACACAGAGTACCAGTGCCATGACAGAGTGCCCTGGTCACTTGAATTTTATAATGAAGGGTAATCTTGGAACTTGTTTAAGTAAGTCTGTTACTATGGAACATTTAGAAAATGTTAACAGTATTTGTTCCAGACTTTTCCAAGTAGAACAAGATTGCTCAGAGACGGCATGTTTTATGTGAGTGCTGTGTACGGTCGCACATACCTTATCTCTTTGTTGATGGCGTCCAGCTGCTCCTGAAGCATCATGGCTAACGTCTGTGCATCAGCCTGCCCGCTGGGTGACAACAGATCAACCGAGCTGAGGAGAGTGTCTCTGTCATCCTCACCATCAGACACGTCAACATCACTCTCAAATGCTTGTGCTACGTTTGCCAAGACACTAGCTTGTTGGGCACGTTCCCAATCCTGTTCATTAAGAGTTTGTACCTATAAATAAGAAAACCAAATCTTAGCAGACTGAAAGCAACGTTAGTTATAGGAACTTTTTTTTTTTAAGACAAAGAGTCTCTCTGTCACCCAGGGTAGAGTGCAGTGGCATCATCATAGCTCGCTGCAATCTCAAATTCCTGGGCTTAAATGATCCTCCTGCCTCAGCCTCCCAAGTAGCTGGGACTTTAAGTGCATGCCACCATGCCTGGCTAATTTTTCTATTTTCAGTAGAGACGAGGTCTCACTCTTGCTCAGGTTGGTCTCAAACTCCTGACCTCAAGCATTCCTCCTGTCGTGGCCTCCCAGAGTACTAGGATTATAGATGTGACCCACTGCGCCGGCCAATATTAACATCTTAATGTGTATGTGAGGCATTTCTATGATGGGATTCACAATGGGGAGATGACGGGGTCAGAAATAAAAACTGAAAATCAGCCAGGAAGGGAGAGAGGGAATGAAGAGAAATCTGGCGTTCGATACATCAGTAGGGTGACTCTACTTAACCATTGACTGTACATTTCAAAATAGCCAGAATAATTCAAATGTTCTTAGAATAAAGAAAAGATAAACATTTAGGTGACAGAAATCCCAATTACCCTGATTTGACTACGTGAATTGTATCAATTATCACATGTGCCTGAAAATATGTACATCTAATACGTAATCGGCTAAAAAACACAGGCCGAGTGTGTCTGTGAGTGTGGGTTCTGCTGCAAGGTTATCTTACAGCTCCCCTTGGATATCTATCTAACAGTCCTGGCAGCTTGAACACGGCCAAGGCTGGACTCCAGGTCTCCCCCAAACCTGCAGTCCTCCTCGTCTCAGGAAGCAGACTCCACCCTGCCAGCTGCTGTCTCTGACTGTTCTCCCCGTCTCCAGTCCCTCAGCGGGTCTGGCTGGCTCCATGTAGGACGACGTGCCCAAACGGCTCCTTCCCTTTCCTCCTCAGGCCCTTGCTCATATGTCAGCCTCAGGTGATGTCTCCCTGGCCAACCCACTTGAAATTCTTATTCCCCGCCTTGCTCTACAGCTCAGGGCCCCTGAGTCCCTTCCCTGCTGATTACCATCTGACACAGTGGATGGCTTAAAGATCTGTCCACAAACTCTTTGACACTCCTCCCATAAGAGACGGAGGTGATTCTTGCCCTGCCACTGAGTGTGAGCAGGACTTAGCGATTCATCTGAATGAACAGAATAAAGTGGAAGTAAAGGTGTGCGCTCTCCAAGACTAGGATGTGAACGGCTTGTGGGTTTTCTCCTTGCCCTACCTTAGAATGTGAGCTCTGGGGGAAGCCACCGTCACCCTGGGAGGAAGCAGCCTTGTGGACGGGCCCACATGGTGAGGGATCAAGGACCCCCGTCCACAGCAGAGCTGCCAGCCCGTCGAGCCTTCCTGTGCTGCAACCCTTCAAGACCCTGAGCCAGAGGCACCCTGCCCTGCTGATCTGAAGTCACGGAGCTGTGAACTATGAAACGCTCCTTGTTTTAAGCCACTGAGCTTTGCAGTAATTCATGCCACACCAATAAAAACTAATATGCACATGTTTACTTCATCTGTGTACTGCCTACTGGTCCTCACTGGCGCGTGCGCGCTGGGGTGTTGGTGTGTGAGCCGCAGCCCTAGGTCTGTGATGGGACCTGGCCCAAACCAGCTGCACGATGCATGTGGGTGCTCAAATTACACAGAATCTATCAAATACGTGCTGCTGAAAAGATCAACGTGAGAAGGTACTTCCAAATGCGAAATCTTTTCACTAAATGATGAATGCATGTATTCACTTATTTTAAATTACTACTTCAAATCCATACTAATTAGCATTGTGTTTAACAGTAGACTGTATTATTTCAGAATTTCTTTTCATTTTTTTTTTTAAGCCCTAACTAAAAATAAATTCTCAGCCAGAAAGAGCCAGAAAAAGGAAAACGAGAGGAGGGCAAGAAAGAAAGTGACCCATCAATGGTTTCACTGCAGAGCAGTCTCAGAACCAGGGGGGAAAGTAGGGAACTTTTACGTAAACAGAGATTCCACACGAAGGCCTTGCCTTGGAAGGCTCTTCCCTCAGGGCTGCCAGACGGCCTTTCTGGGGACGCCGCAACACTGCGCTGGTGCTGTAGGAATCTGTGTGCCCGTCTGCCACAGGGAACCTGAAATCTGGGACGCTGCCCAGATGGGGTCGGCTGAAACATGAAAAACAAGAATGGTCGTTATTAGAAGGAAAATAAATTAACTTTCTGACTTCTGGAAAACAGGTTTTCCATAGAAGAAAAGGTCTCCAAGGAGGGCGCCTCTCCCGCTTCCCCCAGTAGCTCCACGCTGGCTGCTCCGGGCCGGGGTTTAGTCTTTCAGCCCCGCCAGGTGGAAAGCTTCGCTGTCCAGGAAAACCAGCGCTGTCCAGGAAAACCAGCGCAGACTGCCACGGCCACGGAGACGAGCCGGGTGGAGTCCAGCTCCCTGGAATGTGAAGACCTGGGATCCCCTGAGATCCTGCTCTGGGTGCAGGTGCCCCGGCCAGCATGTCTGCTCTACTTTCCACAGCTGACGTCCACACGCCACGGCCTCCACCACTCTGCCACTTCTCCACTTAGGCCAAGACCCATGGCATGAGGTCGGCCCGGCACACACACCCTGATCTGTGACGCCATCTAAAGTGTTGCCATGAGGCGCCTGAGAGGCATCCGCTGCAGAAGCCCCTTTCGGCCAGAGCTGGGGCTTCTCTCAACTGGATCTGACGGCTCACTTCAGTGTCTGAATCAAAAACACAGACTTGTGTGCAACTAGATTAGCAGAAAATCAATACCCTTGGCGGAAGAACTGCCTGGAAAGACGAGCGTGGGCTCCAGGCAACTGAGCCAGAGGTGCTGGGGTGAGCCACCGTCCAGTTCCCATCAGCAAAGGCCCAGACAGGAGCCGGGCAGCAGCCGGGGGCAAGTGCTGCCACCACCAGCCATAGGCACGTCACCTGCCACTTCTGTATGTGATGGACTCATTTTCGCTTACTCTAGGAACTCCTAGTTCCCTGTGAAAGAAGGCTGGCTACCTTCGTTTCCAGAAATCCTTAACAGGCAAAGGTCTTGGGAGACAGAGCCCACTAATCTGATGACAGTGAGTTCAACAGAGGACCCCTCGTGTGTCTCCACACGATGTGCCCAACATGCCGACTCACCTGCCTCTGGTTCACGCCCCCGTGATGTGTGTGTAAGACATGGCTTGGGAACTGTTACATGAGTCTGGTTATCGGTGTGTGAGATACCAAGGCCCGGAACTGCCCTTTGCCCCCAGCTTGCCTTTCACCCCGCCTTTCTCTCGTAACTAAGGAAACTGCTCCTTCCTTCTCGGCATTTCTAGCTTAGCTGCTCTGGGTTGTGACACACTCTGGAACCGGATAAAAGCTACACACACACAGTATCATGTGTGTACTCTTGGGTGGCTCGCGCATCCTCTGGAGCCCGCCAAGCTTCCTCATCTGGACACCCTCTCTTGGGCTTACCTTCCTCCAACTCAGCCCTGGCCCACAGCCAGCCATTTCCCTGCCCTCACCTTTCTTTTCCACTCCTCACGTCTCTCGCTGGGTCAGATCACAAAAACAAGATGACTGATGTCACCGTCAGGGCATGTGGGACAAATGCGTGGGGCCTCGCCCCTTCCCAGGCCCCATGCCACCCCGCACACTCGCTCCTCTCCACCCTCACAGCCTCCTGCTGTGAAACCTCCAGGTCTGCCTCCCTGAAAGAAACCCTGTCCTCCTCACCCAGCCTCTCCTGCCTCCGCTCTTCACACCCACATGGCCACTTGAGACCCACTGCGACTCCAACAGCCCTCCTGCCTCCATGGGGCTTCTAGAGCAACATTCCTCTCTCTCCCTGGACCTTTGGCTGGCACACATGGGCAAGCCTTCTCCACCTTAAAATGCCCCCTTAACTTTGCTACCCTCTGGTTGTGGCAACAGGTGTCTCCTTCCCTTCCTTGCCGAAGCCCTTCACTCAGGACGGTGACGCGCACTGAGTCCGCTTCCTCTTCATCTACCGCCCACACTGTTTTTTAGACACACATCTTAGTGACTCCGTCTCTGCCACACGAATGACACTAGCCTTTCAGCATCAAGGATCTTCATCTCCAAATCCAGCGACTTTTCTCTGGCCTCACCATCCTCAACATTTCCCCTGTGAGGATATAAACTCCTCCTGGAAGTTCCCCCTCCACTGGCTTCAGAGACAGTAAGAGTTCCTGACTCTGACTCTCTGTAATTCTGTCTTCGCTGATTTCCATTCTTGCTTTCCAGGACTAGGTTGAGTGAGGGAGGGCCACAAGATACGCTAGACCTTCACAATACCATAAATTTGCAAATGCAGAAATGGGTATATAGGCTCCAAGCTTCTCCTAAATCATGTTTCAAGCAGGAGCCTGGTTCCTATAGACTAATGTCACCAGCTCACCATTTCAATCACGTTTGTGAGTTAACTCTCACTTGATGACCATCTTCTACAAAGAAACAAAAGAAGAATTTTAATACCTTAATTAGAATAGTCGACTGCCCCTGTAACAATGAGTAGGAAAAAAATAAGAATGCTGGCAGTCCATATACTGGGCTATTTGCTAGAAGCATTACAAGCCAGGTGGTTCACGCCTACATCAGCCAACTCAAAGTCACATTTCAACAGACTTAAATCAATACATAAATTAAATTTTTTTAAAAAGCCAGGTATGGTGGCATGTGCCTGTAGTCCCAGCTACTAGGGAGCTTTGCTAAGGCAGGGGGATCGCTTGAGCCCAGGAGTCTGAGGCCAGCCTGAGCAACACAGTGAGACCCCATTTTTAAAAAAATAAAATCAAATCACATGCCATGAACCTTCAGTGTCTCTTAAAAAATACCAAAAACTCCGAACAGTGTACTAAATGCATGAATGCCAAAGTGTTTCTCAAACTCCAGCTGCGCAGCTCCTCCCTGAGCACTCTGACCTACGGGTGCAGACACTCTCCCATGAATGCCAGCCTTGCATCTCTCATTTTGGAATCTGTCCTCCTGTCCCTGTATCATCCGGGTCATACTCCACTGGGTACCTAAATTAATGTATCCCAATATTGACTGATCATTTCCCACCTTCCAAACCTCCTCCTGTGTTTCTGAGTTTTGCCAATGATGTCTCCCCTAGGGACCAAGCTCTAACCCTTGGAATATTTCACTCTTCCTTCTTGCCTGCTGCTAAGCTATAAGCTCCTTGAGGTCAGACCATGGACAACATCCAGCTATACTGCCCACATGGCCAAGAGCAGACCCTTGCAGACACACAACTGGTGCGAAAAACATAGTTGTTAGTTGGTTAACATCATACCCATGATGAAGTGAAGCACCTCTTAGTCTCATCTGGTCTAGTTCAGCCCTCAACGCTTCAATGTTTAGGACAAGCTGATCCTACAAAACAGGAAAAGACTTACATTATAGCTCTTTTAGGTTTTAAAATGATTTGCTTCAAATGTGCTCAGATGTTGAACATAACTGTAACAGGTTAAACCAGCAGTTTAAATACCAAACACTTTAATTCTGAGAAAATTTTCTCTAAGAGTTCTGTGGTAAACATCAACCGAGACTACCAAATTAACTTTGTAAACCTTAATGAAGAAAAACCTGTGTCTTAGTCACAGAAAAGTTTAGAGGAGGACAAACACCAAACCATTAACGATTTTTAATGCTGCGGAGAGAAACAACTCTTTTGGAGAGAGTGGGAACGATATTCACTTTGCACTGTACGTCTGTGTTGTTTTTAACGGTCTCCTGCCAAGCATGCATTCATTGCTGTGCCACCTGCGTATCTGATCTCACCTCGAGACCTGTGCTGTCCAAGACAGCCGCCGCTGGCCGCACGTGGCTAGGGAGCCCCTGAAATGGGCGAGCCCAAACTGCAGTGTGCCGTGATATGAGCTACACAGTGCGTTCCACAGACTGCACGTGAAAAAGGAATGTGAAGTGGCTCATTGTTGCTTTCCATTAACACATTATGAAATGATAATTTTGGATATATTGGGTTAAATAAAATTAATTGTACCTATTTATTACTTTTTCTAATGTGGCTACTAGAAAATTGAAAATCATGTATTTAGTTCACATTGTATTTCTCTTGGACAGCACTGCTATGGATGAAAGGTTTACTCTAATATTTTAGTTTCAAATAAGCCCAGAAAGGACTCAGAATTCTGAACCATACACATTGCCAGACTCAAAATACACCTAAACACAAAGGCATTCCATGTGCAAATCTAGGAGTGCTGTGAATCTTACGGCAGTGGACTACGAGAGCCATACGGAAAGCTTTTCTCAACTTCTGCGAAGCATCTGCAGTAACTATAATTATAACAAGCTCAGTTCAATTGAGCTCTGAATAGCTTCTAAATGAATTGGAGAAGACTTTTTAAGTACCTTATCATGTTGTGTTTCTTCTAATTGCTTTTTTGCATTTTCAACTTCTCGTAAGAGAGAATTCTGAAAAAAACAAGACAGTTCTTTAGTGTTTGTTTAAAATGTTGCCATACATAGCCTGGCTATATTCATTTATAAAACAAAGTGCCACAGAAAGGGAATGGATCAGAGGAGCGCACTAATGAGCTGTGTCATGGTCCCACGGAGTCAAGTGCTAACGGTGTGGCCAGGACCACTTCTAATCATTTCTCTTATTCATATAAAACTTACTCCTTCACCGACCCTATTTTCTAAATGTAGGTATGTCAGGTTCATGGTATAAGTTTATTTTAATCAGTTAAACTGGTCTATGTTACTAGATTTTACAATTCACTGGTCACTTGGGAAACCTAAAGTTAAGTTTCAAATGTATAATTAAAATCAAAGACAAAAATATTGCTACCTTAAGGCTGATCCACTGACCAAGGAACTGAGCGAGCTCTACGTGTTCTCTAACTCCATAGTCAGTTTTGTGAAACATAATGTGTCATATGATGAGTAGTAATCATCAGGCTCTCTCAAATGAGCACGACCTCAAACCTAAGAGCCAATTTCCGGAAGTTTCTGAGCCTCCTCTCTAGGGACACAGGTGCAGTTAGGACAGGCTGAATCAAATCTGAATCCAACTGCAGCCCATTAGAACTTCTCGGACACAGATTCTAGGACATCCTTTCACTCTGGTGACAGCTAACACACCTCTGTGATAGGAGCAGTCAGTCAGACCGGGCGTAGACGTTTTCCAAACCAAACCAGAAAGAAAGGCGGTGGGGGTTGGAATGCAAGAATGTTTGGTTTCAGGTGATCAAATCTTTCTATTATACCACACTCCTTAGTGTTCTGCTTATAAATGAGACAGAAATTAACCTCCAAAGCAAGAGCAACGAAGGGGAGAGCAGTGAGCCAAAAAAAAGAAAAAGAAGGATTCTAGCGTAGGGGTTGGCAAACTAGGACCTGCCAGCCAAATCCAGCCCACTGCCTATTTCTATAAATAAAATTTTGTTGTAACAGTCACACCCATGCACTCATATGTGTATGCTTACATTTGTGCTAATTGTTGATTAGCACACAATTATTTAATTACTCATAACTACTAAAAGTCTAATATATCTGGTCCTTTATAGATCCCATTTATCTCCTCCTGCCCTAGAGAATAAGAATGATACACAATTTTCCACACATGCAAATGAGGCAAGGACATAGCAAACAGGAAGTTAACTCAGGGACTGGATAATGGTCTGTACTTATTCCACCCTAAAGAATAATTCCCATTTTCTGTCATGGTTGCTAACCACCGTCATGCGTCATTCCTCAGAAGAGGCGCGATCTCTTCGTGAAGGGTGGGGGCCTGCAGGGTGGCCGGGCTCTCTGCCGTACCTTGTCCTCCAGAGCAGCCATCCTCTCCTTCAGGTGGAGCTGAAGCCGCTCATTAGATTCGGAAAGAAGCTTGTCGACAGTGTCTGATAAACGTTTATTATGTTCTTCATTCATTTTTTCTCTCTGCCTTGCCTAAAACAGGAGAATCAGAGACTTAGAAACTTCAAAGAAACATTCGACCATTCTTGTAGAAGCACAAGGATTGAGGGGCTGGGCCAAGGGAAACCCACAGGTACTGTCGCCCTGGATGCCCGTCCCCCCGCCATCCTCAGTGGCCTTCCGTGCCATGCTCTGGGGAGACACCGCCAAAGTCTTGGACAGATCCGTAACTAAAAGGTCCCGTTGCTTCTGGGGAACAAAGTATTCCTGGGGCCTCGGGAATGTCACCAGTCACTATCAACCGTCAGATGGACTTAGGGAGCAGATTTACACCCAGGAACCAGCTTGTTAAGGTACTAGTAGAGGAATTTCCCCTTGTGTAAATAAAAGCTTCGGTCTGGATTTATGGGGAAAAAATTAAATTTAATTTATTAGGTTATTAAGTATGAAATGTTCCATTTTCTTAAGTACTAAGTTTGACAGTTGATATCTCTGACATTTCACTTTGACACTTCTTGTTTTATTTTTATTGTGAAGGTACATCCTCAGTCTTTCAAACACACGGTTTGCCTGTGATTGTCTTTCAAATTTTTTTAGAGTGATTTTTGTGAAACTGTGGATAAGTCAAAAATTAGTGTAGTCTTTGAATATAAGTTCCATCATGGAACCAAGGTAGAGCAGATAGCTCGAAATATCAACGAAGTGTTTGGGAAGGATGTGGCTAATGAAAACACAGTATATGTTGATGGTTTAAGAAGTTCCATTCTGGTGATTTTAATCTTGAAAATGAGCCATGTGGGTGACCTGAGAACAGGTGGATAATGATGAGCTGAAACTTGTAGCGGAAGTGAATCCACTCAACCTACGTGTGAATTAGCAGCAAGATTCGACATTACTATTCCAACAATATTGGACCATTTGAAACAAATCAGCAAGGTAAAGAAGCTGGATAGATGGGTACCACATGAATTAAAAAAGCATCAGAAGAGAAACTGTCTTGAAGCTTGCCTTTCTTTGCCATCACAACATGAAGGCGAACCATTTCTACTCCATATTGTGATGCGTGATGAAAAATGGATTCTTTTTGACAATTGCCAGCAGTGGGTACAATAGTTGGATAAAGATGAAGTGCTGAAACGCAGTCCAAAACTGAAAATTCATCAAAAAGCTAATGGTGTCTGTTTGGTGGTCCAGCACTGGTATTATCCACCACATCTTCATGAAACCTGGTCAATCGATTACAGCAGATGTCTACTGCAACCAAGTGGACAAAATGATGAGGATGCTTGTGATTAAACAACTGAGACTGGTCAACACAGAAAGGCTAATCTTCTTGCAAGACAACGCTCGACCACATGTTGCACAAACAACATTGCTCAAACTACAGAAGCTGGACTTGGAAACCCTCTGTCATACACCATATTCACCCAGACCTTGCACCAACTGACTACCACTTCTTCCAGGCTTTAGACTACTTCTTGCAAGGAAAAATATTCAATTCTTTAAGCTGTAGGAAATGCCTTTCTCAACTGCATTGCCACCTGCTCTGCAGGCTTCTTCAATGCTAGCATAAACAAGCTACCATTAAGATGGCAAAACTGTGTCGACAGTTTAGGCACACACTTTGATTACTTATACTGCTTCTTGTTTGAGACATAAACTTTTGATTCGAAATCGGACATTTCATATTTAATGACCTAATACAAAGCAAAAGGTAAAAAAATCTGTTTTGTTTTGTGACATGGTCTCACTTTGTAACCTAGGCTAGAGTGCAGAGGTATCCTAATAGCTCACTGCAACCTCAAATTCTTGGGCTCAAGTGATCCTCCAGTCTCCCAAGTAGCTGAGACTATAGGTGCATGCCACAATGCCTGGCTAATTTTTCTATTTTTTTGTTGAGACAGGGTCTCGCCCTTGCTCATGCTGGTTTCAAACTCCTGGCCTAAAGCAATCCTCCCACCTCAGCCTCCCAGAGTGTTAGGATTACAGGTGTGAGCCACCACACCCAGCCAAAAAATTTGCTTTAAAAAAAAATCAGTCAATTTAAGAAGACGCTCACATATTTTTCTTTATACACCTACACTGCTTGAATTTCTTATAATGGAAATTTATATTCAAAAATTACAAATAGGCCGGGCGTGGTGGCTCACGCCTGTAATCCTAGCTCTCTGGGAGGTCGAGGCGGGCGGATTGTTTGAGCTCAGGAGTTCGAGACCAGCCTGAGCAAGAGCAAGACCCCGTCTCTACTAAAAATAGAAAGAAATTAATTGGACAACCAAAAATATATAGAAAAAATTAGCCGGGCATGGTGGCGCATGCCTGTAGTCCCAGCTACTCAGGAGGCTGAGGCAGGAGGATCGCTGAGCCCAGGAGTTTGAGGTTGCTGTGAGCTAGGATGACGCCATGGCACTCTAGCCCGGGCAACACAGTGAGACTCTGTCTCAAAAAAAAAAAAAAAAAAAATTACAAATAATTACCTTAAGTAATTTTCAAAATGTGATAACAAAATTGACAAGTCTGTTTTCTAAAACCATAATCAACTGAAAAACTTTGTTTCTACCCCATATCCTGAATGAACACAAATGACAGGTAGAAGGGGACAGGAAGCATTAGCAGGCAGCACCATCCAGGGGCACCTTTGTGCCCTCTTTATCCAAGCCGCTCTGCGGTGCTCAGGAGGCTCCTCCCAGGGAGACGGTGACAGGGGCTACGCGTGCACTCGAGTCACAGTGCCAGGTAGGCGGGCCGGATCCACAAGGACTCAACAAGAGCCTCAGCAGTGTGTCCAGCCCCAGCGCATTCAGTTTCCTCACTGGTAAGATGTGGGCAGCAGCCTCTCCCCTTTCTCATAAGGTCGTTGTAAGGATTAAATATGAGGCACTCAGAATATACCTGAGCAACTAACATTATCTAAAAGTGTCCAATACCTCATGCAAGATACAGAGTATCTCATAATCCTTCTTTAGAAAATTACGCTAATTTTCTGTCACCATTTGTGTATTTTAAATGCAAATTAGCTTAAAGTTTACTTTTAATTGCCTTAATTATAAACACCCCAATCATAACACTTGTCCTTCATAAGTCCATAAACCAGTTGTGACAGTCATGAAGTATGTAAATGTAACTCTCTGCTTACAGGGTGAGAGTGTGTGTCTGTGTGGTGGGGTGTCTCTGCATGTGGGGAGGGAAGGGGGACTGCCTAGTACGCAACCCATCCTGGGAGTCAGAATCTTCCTGGAAGCTTGTTTGATTCTCTGCAGTACGTGGCCAAGAATACAGGTTTCTGTGGAAAACAGAATCTAACGGCCTTAGTGTCATAAAGCTGGCTGACCCAGGGGTACGGGAGTTCTACAATTAGACGCTCCATGCTTCCTCCATCCACCCACTTGTTAAAGAGAAAGCCACCCCAAAATACCAGGCCTGGCGCCAGCTGGCTCCAAAACTGTTCTCACTGTATCTGTTTCTTGGATGTTCCATACTGACATCTGCCCAACTCTTCCAGGGAAAACTCTCCTAGGGTTCAACTGACAGGGCCCTCCAATGCCATGCTTTCTTAATGCTCTTTTCATTGCAGCTCAATTACGGAGTTCCTCTTGCTCAGAAATAATCACTGTTTGGATTATTTTATTTTGGGATAGAGGTCAGGGCTCTGCCCTGGACTAGCAAGCAGACTAGTCATCTAGGACAATGGGCTTTCCTCTGCGTTTCAAGGGGGGGTTCCCCAGTTGAGCAAAACAGGTTTGTTTTAGCAGGAACCATGAGGTCCCACTGGGATCTAGAGCAGTTCCCCTGATAGGCTATTAGATGAACAAGAAGCCTTCCTGGACACGGAGATCCCATCTGCTCCCTGCAGTACTGCTTATGATCACAGATTTCTTCTGCTGCTACCAATACTGACAAAAAGCTGCCGATATGTGAGATGTACATATCAGAGGACAACTTACAGATGAGGCCACAAAATAAGTGCACAGGACAAGAATCAAGCTGCAGAGCCAGTGTCTCAGCTGGGGGCGGAGGCAGCAGAGGAGGGAGAAGTGGAAGACAGGCCGCGACCTCCCCTGAGCCACGCCCTCAGAGCACCCAGGCTCCGTGCTCCCAGCCCTTCTGGCTGAATACACACCCGCTGCAGTTCTTGGTTCTTTTCCTCTAATTGCGCTTCCATCTGTCGTAACCTTTCTTCAATGTTGCCGTGTCTCTCCTCGGCCTGTCAGCAAAAAAGAAAAAAAAGAAAAAAACCAAAAAAACCATAAGCTGACCTGGTACTCACACTTCATGAACAACATGCTGTATACTACTGCAGCAGCAACAAGCATAACATGCTCTGCGTGGACTGTTTCCAATCACAGTAAATGGAAAGCATCTGCTACCATCTATCGACACATCCTATGTGGCTTCGCATGCTCAGCCCTCTTGAGTTGGTGCTTCTGAAGCATGGCTGGTGCTGGCCACTGGTTCGGTGCTGTTCCCCCACCCCCATGCCCGGATTCCACGGATTCATGACTTTCCCCATCCTCAGATTGCTTCTGGTTAGTCAGCATGGAAAGCAGAAAGCAGCAAGCACAAGTAAGGAGCAATGTACAAATTCTACCTTCCTAAGCTTGGAAGTAAGTTCGAACAGTTTAGCTTCCTTAGCAGCAGAGCTCCCAGAAGACAAAAGGTCAGACTACAAAGCCGACAAGGGACAAGAAAGATAACAGGGGAGAAAAGAAACCGAGACTTTAAAAGCAGATCACGGAGAGGGAGGAAAGGTTCTGTTACAGCCGTTGGCAACAAACTTGCTCGAAGGAACAGGTCTGTGGGCCCTGGATACCATCTGACCGGCCCAACATTCCCCGTCACCAGCCAGACACAGGGTCACGGTCCAGCACCTTCTCACTGTCCCTCCCAGAGGCTTGAGAAGCTGCAGCCAGGACTGCTGACGGGTGCTGACAAGGGCCTCAGCCTGTGCTGCTCCCTGTGCCCGGCCGACGCCCCCCAGCACTGCAGTGCGAAGCCTGCCCTGTGCCCGGGAGGCTGCTGGTTTGCTCCCAGAGCCTCCCCTGCGGGTTGCCGCATCCGCATCCGAGTACCTATCACATTGTCTGACACGGCCTCTACCTGCCTTCTTCCCATGTGCCTGGTGAGAACTTGGGAGGGCAGGGACTGTGTCCTAAACACGCATACCCAGTAGTGGAACAAATGACCCAATATTACTTAAAATCATATTTTTAAGTAATTTTCAAAACAAAACTACCTCATCTGTTTATTACAAATTTATTTTAATTATCATTTCCTATTTGAGAAAAACTGTCCTTCTTTTACATGAAGCTTCTAGCCTATGTTTTCAGATGGTGACTAAAACGACTCTAAGAAGCAGTAACTCCTAGATCACGCAGACGGTGGACAAACAGCACACACCTGACAAACTGCAGGGAGACCGAGGGGTAACAGAAAGGAAGGATCATGTCTGACACTGAGAAAGCATCCCAATCTCAGAAAACAGCCCTCAAAACAAAGGCGAGCTGCTCCAAGGGTTTAGGTGCACTGAGTAACAGTGGTCAGGCACAGGAACCAATCACAATCACGATCCTGCCATCTGACCCAGAACCAAGCCCACGACACCACCTTGGACAGGGCCGCCACCCTCTGGGCCAGCTCGGCCTCCACCTCGGGGAGCGTCTCGGCTTTCCTCAGAGTCTGCTGCAGCTTCTGCTCCGCCAATTCCAGGCGTTCTTGTAACTGGCGGTTTTTATCTTCGGTCTATGAAATGAGAGCAAAGTATCGAAATGTAGCAAATCTAGACATAACTGTTTCTCACAGATTGAAACAAACTGAATGCAGACATGGACTAAGTTCAATGAGGGCATCACTCCAGTGCTGGTAGCTGCCTCCAGGTGAGGCTTTTCTGGCTGCCAGGAGTACACGCCCATCTTCTAGAGCTTTATTCCAAAGAGCAAAACATCTCTTGCCAAAGTATTTGCTTTTCTTAAATATCTTCAAAGAAGCTTTAACAAAAAAATCAAATAAAGGTTCCTATACACTAAGGAAAACTAGTTTTCTGTAGAAGCTGCTCATTCTGTTTTCTTCTTTTAAGAGACAGGATCTTGCTCTACTGCCCTGGCTGGAGTGCAGTGGCATGATCATACCTCACTGTAACCTCAAACTCCTGGGCTCGAGTGATCCTCCTGCCTCAGTCTCCCAAGCAGCTGGGACAAGGGGTGCCCAACACAACACCCAGCTAATTTTTAAATTTTTTGTAGAAACGGGGTCTCACTATATTGCCCAAGGCTGGTCTTGAACTCCTGGCCTCAAGCAATACTCCCCCTTTGACCTCCCCAAGTGCTGGGATTACAGGAGTGAGCCACCATGCTTAGCCAGTTTGCTCATTGTTACTGACAAGTTTAAGGTAAGAAGAATTTAGTACTAGGCCTTGTTAAAAAATAATCTCAGGAAAGGCAAACCCATACCAAGATTAGGAAAAAGAAAAAAAAATAATAATGAGACCCATATTTGAAAGTAACACTGCTTATAGCAGACTGCCATGGGCATGTGAAAGAAAATATGGCTTTCATCTCCTTTTTCATATAGATCTTCCAAGAGTATGCCTAACGAAATGTTAGTCAAGTTATTTTTTAAGTGTATAATTATTCTTTTAAAATAAACCCTCTTACACTAAAAAATTTCAATGTAGAAAATTTAACAAAAGATTTTAAAGCTGGGTGTAATGGTGTGTGCCTGTAGTCCCAGCTACTTGGGAGGCTGAAGCAAGAGGATCTCTTGAGCCCAGGAATTTGAGGCCAGCCTGGGCAAAATAGTGAGACCCTGTCGCTTAAAATGATAATTTAAAAAAAGACTAAAAAAAAAAAATCTAGGGCTGAGCGTGGTGGCTCACACCTGTAATCCTAGTACTTTGGGGAGGCTGTGGAGGATCACTTAAGGAGTTCGAGACCAATGTGGGCAACGTATCAAGACCCCATATCTGTAAAAATTTTAAAAAAATCAATCGGGTTTGATGACGCATGTCTGTAGCCCTAACTACTCAGGGGGCTGAGGCAGGCGGATCCTTTGAGCCCGGGAGTTGAGGCTGCAGTGAGCTATGATCAGGCCACTGTACCCTAGCCTAGGCAATAGAGTGAGACTCTGTCTCTTAAAAAAAAAAAAAAAAAAATCTAAAAACCATCTCTAAGTCCAGGTTCCTAAGAGTTTACCATTTGTTTACATGCAGCTTTCCTCTTTTTCTGTGTGCATTTATCTCCATGCATGCAGATAACACCTTATGCTTTAAGACCCTCAAAAAATATGGCCAGGCAAGTGGCTCACACCTATAATCCTAGCACTCTGGGAGGCTGAAGTGTGAGGACTGCTTGAGCTTAGGAGTTCGAGACCAGCCTGACCAAGAGCAAGATCTGTCTCTACTAAAAACAGAAAAAATTAGCCGGGTGTGAGGGTGCAGCATCTGTAGTCTCAGCCACATCGGAGGCTGAGGCACGAGGGTTGCCTGAGCCCAGGAGTTTGAGGTTGTAGTGAGCTATGAGGAGGCCACTGAACTCTAACCAAGGTGACAGAGCAAGACTGTCTCAAAAAAAAACCCTCAAAAAATATACCACACTGTATGTACTATTAATATTTTAGAATCTGCATTTCATGAATTACATGAATTATACACAAAAGTGTACCAAATACACTTTATAAAATATCACTTTATTTTC